GATACTAACTGAACTCCTTCTGCAGAAATTAACTGTACTTATTCTTTTATAATCATTACTTACAGCCAGTTGGTGAATGCAGGATGACCACGTATAAACACAGCACATATTTCAGTGGTGAGTCATTTCAGGTTTGATTTATTCTGCTTTCTTGTCAGTCTTACTTGGTTTATGTGATGGCCATAGGATTTACAAATTTTCTTAAGACTGAAATTCAGAATGCCAAATTTCATCCCAAAGCACAGGTGCTTGGTAAAGTTGAGAAAGTATGAGTTGCATGAAATGTATATGTGTCAGGGGGTGTGTTGTTATAGAAAAAGTGGTATGGTCTGAAGGCAATTATATTTTTCACTCTCAAGATCTCAAGGTAGCAGAATGATAAGGTTGTTTGTAAGCGTCTCAAGTAATATTCAGGTGAAACTATCACTGGACTGTATTTATTTCATTGGAAGATTGTGAAAGATCATCGCTTCAAGGTATTAAGAACTAGTTCAACAAGTATTTGTCAGGAGTTGTTTTTGTAGTTCACCCTTCCTTTAGGCAAAGTGATGTTCTAGAAAAATCTGTTGATGGTCCTTCCCACCGCCTGAGAGGGCTTGTTAAGCAGATGAAACTGGAACAGCTAGTCATGCTTATTCAGTGGCCGCCAAGTGTCTGCTGATGTGTTTGGCCTCTAGTCATAAGGGCCAGATCCAGTAGTTTCCAGGACTATCACTAAAAATCTCCCATTTATACTATTGTCAGGGGAGCTTGGAATACAGAGACTGTAATTCTGCAATACTACTGGGTTGTCTGCATGACCAGTGCGATAAACCTCCTCAACACTGCTAGCTGTAGGAAATCTGGCAGAAGCAAGCCCTAAAAAAGACTATGTTAATGCTTGATTGAAAAAGCAGATGACATGTTTGATGTTAAAATGGTCCTGGGAGTATAGCCACATGAATCTGCAGAATCTGATGAACAGCCTAATACAATTACAAGCTAGAAATGAGATTCAAAGGAGGAAAGTGCATCTTAAAGCAATTGTTTCATCAGCATCTAATCTGCCACAAAGTTACACTCTTCTCAATGTTCTTCTATCATATATACCAATGAATTATCTTTGATTTTTTTCTATGGTTACACTGTATAGAAAATTTATTTTTCCCAGAGTGTAAACTAACATTTCTTCTTCCTACAAAATGTTTGGAAGATACAGGCATAATATGCTGTATTAAATAATGTATTTCCTATACATATATAAATATATATATTACTATGATAACATATCGCACATTTTTAAATAACACAATCTCTATTTCCCTCCATCATAACAATATTAAGAAGACAAAAGTACATATAAAATCATTTAGTCAACAAACTGAACTACTTTTAAATGTCGATTTTGAATTAGGGAAGCCACTTGTCCAGCTGGCCCCCTTCCACCTGAGGTCCACATATACTGTAAGCTATTGTAACTGACATGCTGCATAAAGTAAGGAGGCAATTACAAATTGCTACAGTGGCAGTGCCAACGTAAGTACTTACTGCCCCTGCTTCTGGGGCAGACAACTGTCTTTTTCCTATGTCTTATTGTCTACTTAGCTGTGTTAGCTCATCTCTCTGTGCAGCCACCCAATAAACAAGATCAGAGAACTTAACTCTGTTAGGAGTAACTCAGGGAAGAAAAAGCGATGGTAATTTTTAACCTTATGAGTTTATTGCACCACCACACAGCTGGTCGTACCAACACAACAGAGTGAGGAGGGGGCTGGAGCAGGGGCTGGAATGTGTGTGTATATGAGGAGGCAGCTCCTCCTGATGGTTTTGTTGTCAAAGCAGTTGCTTTTGAAATTGCGGCCAATTTCACATTTGCAGCCAGTCCAGCCTGCTGAGGGAACTGCTAGGTAGGAGGTCAGAAGGCCATTCAGATACAATTCCAAACAAATTATTCTTCTGCAGTTATTTTTACTTGGTTGAAGAAAATGCTGTAAACACTAGATCCTGAGGTGTCTGTGCCTTCCAGCTGTCAGCACTCAGCTGCTAGTGTTGTAGGGGCATTTCTGTATGCTGAATCGTGGGATTACAACAGTTGTGCATGTCACACTTTTCTTCTTTCTCTCCCCAAATCCTTATAGGAAAGTGCTATGTTAATGGATACCATATATGTTGGCCATATATCACCGTGCCACTGAAGTGTTTGTACTAGGAGCTCGAGTGACCATAACACTTTCTGAAAACATCCACAGCAGAGATCTACTTGCTCTTTATAGTCTCAGGCTTGTATAGTAAGAAGTGCTATTTAAGGGACCCTGTCCATACATTTCTATCTATTGCTCTGTTTCCTAGTATTAAAGGTATCTAAATCAGACAATCTGAAAGATTTGGGGGGAACATAACAATTTCCTCTACACTTTTATTAGTGTGTTTACCTGTGCACTGTCCAATACCTTAGGCTTAGTCATGTTGATTGTTGCCATGGCCAGTTAATCTGCTGTAACTGCTGTTTTTACAGGTCTTTCATACAGAAATTGGATAAACATTCCCTAAGAAAGGTCCACGAACTACAGCTTTATTATTTAAAAAAATAGTTCAGGAGCTAAGGGACCAATACAAAATCTCAGTTTCTAAATTCTCTAGATTTTGCATTAGTAGCATCAGTCTTTCTTCTTGTTGTTTGCAATGGGCTTTCTCTAAATTTATAGTGAAATTAAATTCTTTACTGAAGAGAAGCTTCACAGTTCTGTATTTTTTTTTTTTTCCCCTTCTGCAGCAGGCAGAAATCAGTCATGGCATAGTGCTCCTGATGTTTTGGGTTTGTTTTTTTTTTTTTTTCCCCAGTTTATCAGCATTAGCTAACTACTTTATGAATGTCCCTTTGACTGTACAAGAACATTAGATAAGGCAGGCAAACAAAGCTTCATCACAATGTGCCCATAACTTAACTCTTAAGGATCTAGCTTTATATTCTGATTCTTTCCTCCTGGTTTTCCATTAGTGAACCATACTAAGCATGCTTAGGAAGCAAACTAATTTGTTTTGCTAAAAATCTGTGAGGTAGACTCTTTCCTTACCCAGCATGATGCAAAACCAGACTGTTAAAAAGGCAATTCAAAAAATTTTGTTGGGTGTGAAACAGATAATGTTTTTTTGGTTCAACCTAATGACATGTAAGAGATAACCAGCATATTTTACAACTTGTCCTATCTTGATTTTAGGCTATACTGTAATTATCTTTTCCTGTATTCTTTCCAGCAGCTCATGCAAGAAAGTACTAGACGTTCCCATGATACTCCATTTTTTATATAAACAATTCCATAATTGCTTGTCTTGTTTCTATTAAGCATTTATTTTGGTATTGTTCAGCTGTCTCTGGCACTCACCTGTGGTACATAAATGGAGCTAGAATGAAATAAATTCAGGTAAAAGACTAGACCTACAATGTCAAGTAAGGCACAGTATTTCATTGTTTAATTTTTAGATGCCCTGTTTTTTCAAGGAAATCTACAGACCACATCAAGAGGAGGGAGTTGTATGTTAAAAACCGAAGGGCAGATACTACAGCGAATTTAAACTTGGTGGTAATTTTCTTACTTTTTTTAGTTATCTTTTGCCGATGCATTTAATAGTTGTTCTCTGACTGCAGGTCTGGTATACACAGACCATTGGTATATGTTTAAACTGGTATTTATTCCTTTTGTCTTAACCAGAATTACTGTATTTTAATGGCTCTCACTGAATTTCCCCTAACTTAGTTTTAGGAGCTGCTCACTCAGTAAACTCTTCCAATCAATTTATCTGACTTCTGTATTGTCGTTTTTCCTAAACATCTGGACGTGCTGAGGCTGAAAGACTCACTGTTGATCCCCAGTGGTGAGATGAGAAGTCTGAGCATTGTGGGTGGACTGATATTCTTAAAAATCTTAAAAATGCAGTGTAGTTTTAATTTGGGAGGTGAGGAGATGCTTTTTCTTCTCACGGGCAAGTATTAAGTAACTGTTATGTATGTGTTCAGATGCACCGCCTGGCATAGATGAGTTGTTGATAGCAGGCTACAACTTTGTAAACAATTTATGCTGCTGAAATCAGTATCTTTAACTTCAGAGTAAGAATTTGCATTCATCAGCCTCACTGTTTAAAAATTCAGTGGATTTACAGTTTCTTTGAGCAATCCTTTAAGAAGTCCTAAGCTTACATCTGGAGTGACTGCAGGACATCAGACAGGAGTACAATAGGGTTTTTTTAAAGGATCACTGTGAATATGAACAAAATTATAATCATCGTTGAATGATGGGTCAGATGTAGTAAGTTAAAAGTCTTCATTGCTTGTGCAGAACTTGACCTGATGAGTATTACTCCATCAAAACTCACATTTGCAGCTGAAACTCTATGGAGTGTTTGCTTCCTGATTTTGATTTGTTTATTTGTCCATCTCTGCTTGTGGAAACAGAAAATGTAGAAACAGCAGAGCACTTGGCAGCCAGGCTGATAGCTTCTCAAAGTCTTTCCCATTTTGCTGTATAGTACCATTTAGACACATTTACACTAAGGCAAGTAAGCTCTGGTTGCAGTGGCAGCTGAACAGATTATCAGTATCCACCTCTGTCTTCAGCCTTGGGAATAAAGGGACTGAAGTGGCCTGATACAATGCAGTGGTACAGGAAAGTAGGACACAGGAAGTCCCGAACCTGCAGATACTCATTCAATTACTTTTGGCAGGGGTACAGGACATTTTGAATTCTACAGGTGTTTACATGTATTTTAAGTGCATTGGTTTAAAGGCAGTAATTAACAGCACTACAGATTTGATGAGCACCAGATATTTCAAAACTATTGCCACAATTAAGTCTGTTGTCATTAGTATACCCAAGAGAATAGCAGATAGGCAAAGTTACTCAAAGGCCTTTGGAAATAGACTTTTGGGAAAACAAGTATGAGATTGGGAGGGAGAAAAAACCCCAGGATTATTCCAAAGTCACCTGCATTTTAAGAAGATTGATTCTTGTAAAATAAAAGACACTTCAGTTTCCCACTAGTGGGTTGCAATCATCTTGCTGACTTCGAAGCTTTTTCTTGAAGATGGATATCGATGTGGATGGCTGGTAGAATATACTCCAGATCTCGCCAGCAGTTCTAACCTCACTGGAATCTTCTGTTTCAGTCGCAGATGGTATCTGATGGGATCTAGGAAACAAGTGTTAATTCACTGTAAGTGTTAAGGTGCTTGGGCAACTGCTATTGTTAGTATGTCTGCACTCCTGCTACACTGGTGATGCTAGCACCTTCTACTACATCTGTGACACCTTGTCTTTCTACCTGCTGCACAGTTACATGGGTTTTTGGAGTGTTTGTTGTTGCCTGACAAAATGAAAAGTTAAGCATACTGTTGCTAGAATAGTTGCTACCCTAATGAAAGCAGTGACATTAAGCTAAGAAGTCTGTACATATTCTATTAATAACTGCTCTTAACATAAATTACTTTCCTTTATATTTAAGCCTGTTTATGGTATTTAAATACAATATTCAACATCTATGATTTGTTGATAACTCACCCATCATTTCATTTAATGAGTGTCCATCTAGAGGACACAAAAATTACTTGGTGTAAGTGTTGAGAAATGCAGTAATAAAATTAAGTTGGCTTTAATAGGCAAAAAAAATTATACTGTTTAAGTGTCACAGAATAATACAGATTTTTATTTTTGTGATTCATTTTTGAACCATTTTCAGTATTTCAGTAAAAGAAAATAAGTATTAACTAGCCTATATCTAACTTTTTTCCCCTCCAGATCTTCAGTCTGGGATGAGGTTTTAATTTTTTTCCTGCAAAGTATTATTATAATATGACCTCTTTCCACCAATACTAGATGTCTGATTACATTTTCCTCTTTGCTTTATAACATCACTCAGTATAAGAAACCTTTTTATTCCTTAAAATACAAATTTTGTCAAAACATGACCAAAAGAGATATGCTCGCAGCAAATGCTATCCTAAGAGACTGTAAAGTTTAAAAATGTGCATATTTAGTATCTTTTATGAGGATAAAAATATGTAATATAACTTGGTTTTGAATATGATCAATATGACATTATCAGAAGGAAAAGAAATGAAATGTACCAGGTTTGGTACTGAATTGAGATGTCAGTTCTCCAGGGATGTTTTTGTCCCATACTCACCTCACGGTTATGTGGAGAAATATCTTTGCTATTATGGCTGTAACACTTAGGATGAGCAGTGCTGTGAGACTATATATTGTCCACTCTGTAAAAGAAAAGAGGAGAGGAGAAGCTCTCAGTACATTCATTTACTTACAATTTTTAAAGTAAGAGTATTGCACAAAAGAAACACACGGCCTTCTGATGCTTTATTCAAAACTGTAATTTGAAGATACCTTAAACCTTTAAGTATTTTCTACAAAGACTGGCAGAAACTATGTAACTCTCAGTCAGAACTGTGTTCTCCCCATGCAGGACTGCTCCCTATAAAATTAAAAATTGGGAAAACAAAGCATATACCAGTAAATAACTAGAATCTAGGAAAGGAATCAAAACACACTCTGAGGAAAATTTAAAAGCAGACTAAACAACATACTGGAATACATGCTATTAGCAGCAACTATGTTTGCAAGGAGATAGCCTAGTTTTATATCACTAATTATGAAAGTAATCACTAAGTTTAAAGTATGTGGAGTTTTTTCCTTTATAGAGTCTACTAGTAAAGACAGGTGATCGGTATTTGTGGTCTGCTATTTTATTACCTTACACTGAAGGCTCTTGGTGATTGTATTTTACATTTCAATTTCATTCTGGTTGTACTAGCAAGTCAAGCAGGACTTAAAGTTAACAGCTTGATACATTGTAACAATTTAACTGTTAAGGACATTGGGGCTTAAGGAGCTCTGCTTTCTAAATTCTTAGATCACCTTTTCATTTGGACCTCCATAGTTTTGCAGTGGGAGGGTACAGCATGTTGAACTGGGAAAACAGCACTAGAATGTAACTCTGATATATTTAGCACACTGAACAGCCTTGCAAGGATCTTGAATTATTAGGACAACTGAATAAAGGCCATCACCTTCAGAAGTCCTGAAGCTCAAAGGAGCAGAAAAAGGAAGCTTAAGTTCCCTCCCACTCAATACTCCTTCCTCAAAGCACTGACTGTTCATTATAGCATTTTCATAACTACATAAAAGCTAAGGATGCAGTTTCATTTTAGGTCAGTATGCCCAGGCTAGTTTAAGACATGTAGCTGCGGTAACTCAGCCACTAGCCTGGGCCTAGTGCCAGAATATCCTAGGCATGTTTTGCAGTCTGGCTAGTTTGGGTGTATGTAGCTCATGTGCAGTCATGCCTTTACGGTTCAGGTTTGGAATGCAGACAGCTTCAGAACTACAGAACTATTGAGTATCCATAGTGTGTTCCAGGACCAGCTTCAACAATAGTAAAAGTGCATCTCTTCAATTATTTACAACGCAACAATTTCCTGAATGAAGTGATGTCTTAAATGTGAGTTCTAGAGACGTGTCAGTTCTCAGCGGCATCTTCCCTGCACCCATTAACTTGCTTAATCCTTGTCTAGCCCTCTTTATATTATTGCTGTAGCTTTTGTTAACTGAGATAACTGGGACGTATCCAGCATTCAGGCTCCTCCAGACTCTACAATAGCTCGCTCTTTTTTTCAGCACCTTTTGCCACCTCTGTGGTATGCACTCATCACTGAAGCTGATTCTAGTGAGGAGGCAGCTCTGACTCACATCTCATTCTGATGTGCTTTTATTCTCAAGGACTCACCATCTTCACACTATTTCTAACTGATTTATGCCAAGAAGTGACTTTTGAAAAGTAACGAGAGCAGCACAATTAGTGGTATTTAGACTAAAGGAAAATTCATCTATTAGTAAGAGGCACAGCGGATCAGATAATGTGGGCGAGGAGGCAAAGGAAATAATGATCTAGATTGTGCCTTGGCAAAACATTTTTCCTGTTTCTACATTTTCTTGTAATATTACCAGGCATGGAGCTACTAGGATGACTTGGACTGGTTGTGATGACATAAAGTATCTTTGATGACCGGGCTGCATTGATGCTGAGATTTGCCTGTTCATTTATCTTCTCTGAAAAGGTCTGATTCAATGGAATCTTGTTTTGATGCACATTGTCCTTCACAGCTGAAAACAAAAGAGTATGATTACAATAACAACTTCTTAACAGGTGTAATTGGATTTTATTTTCTGCCTGTAAACAGCCATGTGCTGCTCTCTGGCTTCCTTAGATAAGTCCAGTAATGAAATTATGTCTGATACCAGAAAAAGCCTGTACTTGACCAAGCTGGTGTTCTCAGAATTTTTCTGGAAGCTAATTGTTCATCAAAACAGTAGGTACAACTCAAGGACTAAAATAGTTTCTTGGGTCCTTTCGATCTGAGTGGAATAAAATTGGAAAGAGCCAAGATGAACCAAGATGCACCAAGATGCACATGGACTACTGTTTTCATGTTTTGTTTCAACTTAGTAATTTTCCAATCTGTTTTGAAAGGCAGGTATGTATAGGATTTAAGTTTTGAAAATTTAAATTTTGCTATTTATGATAGAGCTGACTGGAATGTTCTAGTTTGAGAGAAATTTTAGTGAAGCTTTTACCCACTGAGCAGTGGCAACAAGATTGATGAAGCACCTGTAGACATAAGAGTTAATATATTTGCTGGTTTTTTGCCACTTCAAAAATCTGTGTGAATTAAATGCTTTAATGGCTTATTGAAGGGTAGGAATGGCAAAGTTAGCCTCTTACCTCTATATCTGATAGCAAATCCCTGAGCTTGATTGATTTCATCTGAGAAAAAGTACAAAATTACAAAATCCAAAGAGATGTTAAAGGTGTGGGGAGGCCGGTTCTTGCCGTTAAAACGAGCTAGTACATGATAGGTATAGCCATCCAGCAATTCTACCATATCTGCAGCATCTTTGATTTCAAAAAGGGCAAAACTGAAGTGGATTTGAGATGCTCCTGGAACTTGTATGGTCCAGTAACAGACTTTGCCTGTGCCATATGTGTCAGGAAAATCTGGGGAATAGATCACAGCTGTAGCAGAAGTGTAATTCCCACCACAGGCACCAATAAGAGCTGTGAAAAGAAGAGCAGAGGGAGAAAAATGAAAAAAAAGAAAAAAAAAAAAAGAGGTTATGCATTCATTACACAGCTTTAGCACTCTGTAAATTCTAATAGTCAAATGTGACTTGAAGGTACATACATGCTATCCCAGCAGGATGCACTGTCTCAGATATTTTTTTCCCTAGTACTGGGAGCACAGCTATTAGGTTGCATTTGCTTGGGATACACTCATTCTGTCTCATTACTCTGAGACAGATGTATCAATCTTTAATACTGCAGCTATCCTCTTTGTCCTTTTATGTAACCACATACCCTTTCCCACATCCCTGCAGGAAGAGGATTAAAGCTAAATCACTGATTCAGAGACTTCTACTCCATCCCTATCAGGCAGGCAGGCAGGCAAGTAGATTAGTGACTAACTCTTGCTGTAGAATTATTGAAATTCCTTCACAGCCTTATCAAATTGAAAAACCCAAATCTTCACACAATAGCTGAGGTTGGAAGGAACCCCTGGAGATTGTCTAGTCCAATCCCCCTGCTCAAAGCACAAGATAGTGTATAGTTGTGTTTTGAGTCTCCAAGTTCTTCCTTATGTTTAAATGGCTTTTCCTGTATTTCAATTTGTGCCTGTGGCCTCTTGTCTATTCGCTAGATAACACTGAGGAGAGTCTGGCTTCATCTTTACACCCTCCCATCAGTTATTTATACAAATTGAAAAGATCTCCCCTGAGCCTTTTCTTAAGGCTAAACAATCCAAGATCTCTCAGCCTCTCCTTGTATGAATGATGTTCTAATCCCTTAATCACCACTGTGGCCATTTATATGTGCTTTTTAAGCATCCTGTCTTTTGATCTTGTCCAATTTATGTTTGGCCTTACAGAATCACAGAATGTCAGGGATTGGAAGGGACCTCAAATGATCATCTAGTCCAATCCCCCTGCCAGAGCAGGAACCTAAATGAGATCACATAGAAAGGCGTCCAGGCGGGTTTTGAATGTCTCCAGAGAAGGAGACTCCACAACCTCCCTGGGCAGCCTTACCTTCACTAAGTAACTTGAAAAATATGCTGTTATGAAGTCGAAAGAAAATCTTTTAAATTTGTTGCTACCTTTTATATTCAAAGTAAGTACATGCCCACTAAATCTTTATATTCCCTGTCAGCTAACCATATTCCCAGTGCAAACTTATTTACCAGCGAATCCAGAGAGAAACTCAAATGCCATGATGGAGTCAACTCAAATGACTTGATGGATATCTATATATACACATATATATATATATTTTTTTTTAATTAAGGTATATATGCATTTATATATTTCCCCTAAATACACAATAATATATGTTATATAATACAAAACTGTTTGGATCAGTTATCACTCCCCCATATCATAGACTTGAAGGACTGAAGAATCAAAGCAGAATTATTTTCTCTGAAGGCTTAACTAAAGCCTTGTAATAGAGGCCTGTGAGAATGGAAATAAAGGAAGTGTTCTGAAGTGTCTCAGTTTTCACAGGCCTCTGAGAAAGAGCTTTAATAAATACAAATTAAAAGGGAGCTGGTGGAGCAAGAACAAGAAGCAGCATATGTCTACCAGAAAAATAATGTGAAACATTTCTGTCTTTTTCTGGAGCAAGGCCTGGCCATAGCCTGAGCAAACCTCACACTTCAGTGCCTCACTGTGAAAGACCTTAAAAGAGGAACTGAAAGAACATGAAAGAATAGAAAGCACGTGAAAGACCCCAGGGAGGTGCTAAGCCCCATAGAGGAATTTGTATTTGGCATTTACTCCATGCTAGCAGAGCTGGTGATTTAATCAAGTAGATAGAATTGTTTGAATAGACAGAACAGATTGAATTGATAGAATTAAAATTTGCCATAGAGATATCAAATTTCTTCTTTGCAAAATGCCTTATAGGCATTATTACATTTTGCTGTGCTGCTTGTAATTACTGAATCACAAAATATTCTTCAAACCAGCAATATCAACTAAGAATGCCAATGACTAGTGCTCCACAGATGCCTAACAAAGTGCAGCATTGCCCCATATAGAATGGAAATGCTTTCCCTCTCTCATTTCCTTCTAGAGCTGGCAGAGTTCTGTGTTGTGGGTCTGAATGTTACAGCTTTAGGCCACGATAGTAGCACATAAACACATAGGTTAACAGGGGGTACGGGGGAGGGGGG